GAAAGCAATTCCGGCCATGGATGGGAGCTAGGCGGCCTTGGTCATTTTGACTCCATGAATTATTTTCAAAAATGTTTGATTTGGTTTAGTTAGGTTCATCCAATGATGATCAAACCTAGTTAAATCAAATCTATGAAAAATTAGGAGCTAAATGAGTCCAATATGCAAAATTTTGCCTAGACCCAATTCTGGCCCAATTACTAGTCACACCTTCAAGCATTGCTAAATGCCACCCACTTTTACTACTGAAAAAATAGAAAATGAGTATATCAACAAAGGAGGTTAAATGGAGTTAAACTCTCCAAGTAACCCACCCTAGAATCAATATACAATGACTAATAAATGAAACTAGAGTGCCTCACAAATACAAAGACAAAAATAAATCTATACAAGAGAATTATGTACAAGATATTTATAACTAGAACTATGCCTTTTCTTCATTATAGAGTGGTCCAAATTGAAGAGTACCTTGGGCTTGGAAAGCCCACTGGTCTTCAAGGTGTCCACTAGTCTTCAAGGTGGCCATAGCTCTAGTGATTGGGCCCTTGGCCTATGGTCCATCATCCCATTCCTCTTGGTTCCTTCAATGTATCACTTCTTGGATTCCTTGGCCTTGTCCATAGTCTATCATTCCGGAACACTTCTTCTTGAATTTTCCTTGAGAAGCTTCAAGGATTGAATCTGGTCAAGAAAAAATGAAATGAGGTTCAAGGTGAACCAAGCTTCTTACATAGAAGAAGCTCAAACCTAGGACTACAAATAGGATAGCTCAAGGCGAATTGGAGAAGGGATTCTCCTTGGTGACTTTGGCTAGAGAGAATTTGGTTCTAAAAGATGAATAAATTCTCATTCAATTATCCAAAGTGTTGAGATTACATTGCCAAAGGAAATTTATAGGCCTAGAAAGTGTGTGGAACATGCTAGCCTTAACCTAAGGTTAAAATAAATCATGGTATGGTTTAGGTTAACCTTAGGCGCCAAAATTTGAATTCAAATTAAAATTTTAGGGTCGGCCGTGTGCTAGGTTCATGTGCATCTAGTTTGGTGTGCATTTGAGTGGCATTTGAGTCATGCCATGTGTGCCACTCCCTTGGTCTGTTACATGGGTCAAATGTCATCTAAATGCAAACTAAATTACATGTAAATATGTTAACACATGTGCTTAACTAAACCTAATTCTAAAATGACCAAAAATTACAAGACCCAAAATCATGCTACTTGGCCAAAATACAAGGCCCGCAAACAAGAATTTCAAGCCCAATGGGCGAAATCTATTCTACATGGGCTTTAGTGCACAACCCAACTAAAGAGCACTATGGGATTTTCGCATTATAATATATTTTTTTGTTTTTAATTATAACATTATATAAAGGGATGCAAACGCTTATAACTATCATTTGGTTTCCACTTTTATTATGACATTTTTACCCTTAATAATATTACATATTAAATGATTAATACAAGTAATTATGTCATTTTTTTTAAGTAACTACTCACTCTTATTCCTTTTAACAGCATATTATCTAAGTAACTGCACTCATTGTTCGCACTTTCACATACCTGTCTTTCTTGCTTCCTCTCTTTTTTGTTAAAGTGACTTCATATCCTTGCATAATATATCCTCCATTTTACGGTGCATCCTTTCTCATGGTAGTCGAGATTCGAGAGAAAGGGAATTTTTCCTCCCCCACCAGCCACTTTATTTCATTATTTTCTTCTCGCAACAAACCCCTCACACCTTTCTTTTTCTTCTTCTCTCTGTCATATCCTGTTATCGTCTTTGTATCTTTGTTTTCCCTTCAATCCTCTTAGGCCCATTTCCTTCAAACCTTTCTACTTTTTTTTTTTTCATTTTTCAATCCACTTTAATTGCCCACAATAAACATTTCACCAATTTTATACATTACGACCATCATTGTTTGTTGGGTTTTGACGTAGAATGAGAACGAATAGAGGGGTTAAGAACATGGGAAGGATTCCAAAGATTGGCGTTTCACAATTGCATATAAGGATTGGCACTTTCTCACTTCCGCTCAAATTCCTCAGTCACGTTTTTTTAGGTTGATTCTCTTTTCTCAATTCTATTTTTTCGTGCTTATTAAAAAAATTCTACATTAAATTATGTAAATTTAGTCATTTTTTACAATGATTTTTTTTGTTTATTTTTACAGTAAATTTAAATTTATTCAACTTTTTAAAAATTCAAATTTAAGATATCTCTATTTCCCAAATTCATTTTTTTCCTTTAAAATTATAAAAATTCATTTTTAAACTTATTATCTTAATAGATTTAAAATTTTAAATATATAATCATATTTTATTAAAAATTCAAATTTTTAATATGCCTAATTTTGAATTTTAAATTTTATTTAATTTTTAATAGTTTTAAAATTACAAAAAAAATATTTTAAAACTTATAAATATTTGGTCACTTTCTTTCAAAATTTTATCCAATTTTACCCCTTATTATTATTGATATTGATGGTTACTTTCTTTCAAAATAATAACTGTAAGGTGGTTACTTTCTTTCAAAATAATAATCACACAAATAACCGTCGTTAAGTATGTTATTTTCAAAAAAATTATAAACCAAATCCATTCTCACTCTATTATGAGTCCCAATCCAACGTTTTGTAAGATAGTGTTTTTTTTTCTCACCCAAATTTTCATTCAACGCTATCACCAAATCACACAATTATCGTATCTAACTAGGTTGCACATGATTCTTTTGACAACATCACTCCCTATACTTTCAAGCTAGAAACAAAACATATTCTTTGTCCTAAAAAAAGTCAAAACGTGTTGTTAAAATTGACTTACCCGCTTGAATCCTGGTTCCATGACTCATTGCCAATGATATCAATCATTGTCATCAATATTGTGTTTTGATCGATGAAGGCCATTAGTACCTTTGATCTTATGTTTTCCCATTCATAGTTTCCAGGTTAGTATTCTTTTATAACTTTTATCTATAACTTCTATAACTTAAGATTTTACCCTTATTGATGATTACTTTCTTTTAAAATAATAACTACACAATATATTTATAATTTTATCTATTTTTATCTACCTCCTTTGCACAATTTTTTTTCCATTCTCCCTCTCTACATTTTTCTCATCCCAATCAATTCTCAACTTCCGCTTTATTCCAAACTCATCCTTACTCTATTCTGTTATGAATCACATTTGCAAGCAAGTTGTATTATATTTTAAGTCATTGTCTTTAATGTTGGATATAGTGACACATGGTGTAGAAGAATAATACTCTGACCCCGATAAGGACACCATTAAGAAGCATGATTGTGGTTATGACGATTAGTACACCCTTGATGATCATGACTTACATGAGGATGAAGAAATGACTTAATACTCACAAGTCCATCAAACAAAAAGTATGTTTTTTTTTTTTTTTACATCATTTGCAATTAGATATGCTATAAATTAGAATAGAAGGAGTGTAATTTTGTTTTTTTTCTCTCAATGATGATATCGCATCAATGCTATTAGTTACACAAAATGACATGTAAGATGTTACAAGTTATTCAATTTAAAAGTAATAGAAAAGTTTTAAAATTTACAAAGACATAAATAAATTTAACTATATTTGGAGGACATCCTTTGCATTGAATTCATTTCAAGTTTAGTCAATAGTAAATTTAAATGTATTTTTCTTTCATTTTATGTTTAATCAATTTTTTAAATGTCCATATTTAAAATATGTTTGTTTCTTATTTTGATTTTTATTTTCTAAGTTATAGATTTAATATTTTAAAATTTTATTTGAAAACTTATTATTTTAATATATTTAAAATTTTAAATATATTTATAAATATCTAATATAATTTCAGTAGATATTATAAATTAAAAAATGTTACAATTCAACCATGAAACATAAAATTTGATTTATGTTACCCAAATAATATAATCACTATGTTTGATAACTTAAATGTGTATCTTAAATTTATTCTATTTTATCAATAAAACTGGGTTTACTAAATTAAATATGTTTCTCAACTTTAATCATTTTTTTTTCAAGAAATTATGTTAATTTTATTAGTTATGTTTTTAATATCACATATTTATTTTGTAATGTTCAACTCTTTTGTATTAACTAAACTTTGAAAAATGGTGAAAAAATAATTGTTATCAAAAAAATTAGAAAGATAATATAATAATATGGTTGTGAAGATATTTTATATGTGTCAATTTAATAGATATAAAAATATAATTTTAACATTTCTTCATTTAAATCAATTCTAACTCATATTTTTCTCAATATTAAGACACTTGAAAATGCAAGATTGAGTAATACCTGTTATATTGACAACTTTCATGAAAAATAAAATATCTCTATTTTTTAGGTTATGATTATTTCTTTCATAAAATAAAATAAATTACATGAAATTTTAAATATCTCATATTGATACATGACATTGTATTATTTATTTTTGTAGTTTTTTAAAGTCAAAGAAATTATGGATGATTTACTATATAAAAAATTGAAATTTATTCTTGAAAGGTATGACATTATTTAATTTAATTATTTACTAATTCTGATATATGTTTTAGTTATGTTAATGTTAACTAAAAATAATAGCAGAATGACATTTAATTTCTATCATAAATTACAGGAAACCTAAAAATCGTCCTAAAGTGGAATCTTTATTTGGTCTTCCTATTAAGAAAATTTTATGATCGTAAAATATCATATTGTGTAAAATTATTTATATGTTTATTTGCAAACAAATAAATTTATTTCATAGATAAGTTATTTTAAATTTTACGATAATATACATATAGAGGTACGAAGTGCCTCGACCCCTTTAATAAATATAATTATTTTTCTTTTGAATTCATTTTTTTTTCTCAATATATCCCATGTCGATCATAAATCATTTTTATTTGCTTGAAGAAAGTGTAGTATTAAAACTTCGGGCTTCCAACCTAAAATTAATAAAGTTTGACTAATACGTGGTAGAAAAAATATATATCACTATTCATTGAAAAACAAATTCTTTCTGCACTTAATTTACACACCATTATCAAAAGCTAAACAGGAAAGCTAAAGAATATACATCAAGAAACAAAAATTGGTAAAAAGAAAAGCTAAACAGCAAACACCGTTATCGAGAAATATTTCTTTTTTTGGGTAAAATATATATAAACAAAAAATAAAAAACAATTTTCTCATTTGTTGAGTTACAAGATGGGCAATCAGGAGCACCTCAGCATGAGGATTAGCGCCAGGCAATTATTTTGTGACGAGTGGTCCGGCGAGATCCAGAAGCGATTCGGGTCTTGACCCGTTCGAACTCCGTGACCCGACACGGGATGGTGATTCCACCTTCGTGGTGGAACCCAAACTCCTCCTCTCTTTCCTTCAGCAACTCCCCAAACAAAGGGTGGTTGAAGTATATCACCGGCACCATAACACGGTGCAACTCGCCATCCTTCTGCCCCACGTACACCGCCAGGTGTCCCTTCGGCACACTTGGATCCGGTTCTGACCCTAATTGGGCATAACCCGATTCGGCTGTCACTTTCAAGATCGACTTCGCACCTGCCGTCAACTTGCGGCCCCACCTCCGGAGCTTCGCCATGGGTGACTTAGAGGACCAACCCAGGCGACGGTATCCGGGTCGGGTCGAGTTCCGGATCCGGATCTTTCTTAAGACCCATTTGGAGACCCGGATGAGGCGCGTCCTGAGGTTGAATCCGCGAATCTTGGACATGCGCCTTTGGGGGAGTGAAAGAGAAAGGTGTGTATGGGAATGGAAGTGAAGGGGAGGAGGCGCTAGCGTGCGGTGGGGTTCATGAGAAGGGCCATGGGTCTGCCGTGGACATGGCAAGGCGAAACTGGGTGAGGCAAATCTCTGAGAGCGATGAGGGGAGGTTTGACATGGCTTTCACACGTTGTTGACTTTCATTGCGGAACATTAAATTGCGCCATGGGATCCAAACCTGAGTACGAGGACGAGGAAATGAAAGAACCGGTTTCCAGGTTGTTTCTGCTTAGGAAGTGACCAACGCGTTAGGCTTGGTTATTGCGATTTTTTATGTGGCGCAAAATATTCCTAGCTTTCGGAAGTAGCTAGAGAGAGTCCTGATATATAAATAAATATATATAAGAGAGGTTATAATTATACTGGTGTAATTTTTACCAAGTGTTATACTATTCAATAATTTTATATTAAATGTGAATTTTGTAAATTTAACTGTTAGATTGAAAGTTCTTATAACTTTATATGTGTATATTAAATTTTGTTAAAATTGAACAACAATTTGAAGGTGATCAAAGTGTTCATATTTCAGTATATTTTGAAATGAATATGTTCTTACCGAGGATCTGAGGTAGAATTGATCCACTGGGTAAGGTCGGTGAGCCTCCTTCGCTGGTAAGCTTGATGTTCCACGATGGGGGTGGTACCTGCAAAAGAGACTTCGATGCTACAGTTAGGATTTGTATGAGTATATGTCTCGTATAAGTAATGCACGTACCTTAGTGTGAATTAGGGTTGCGTTGGGCCTTGGCCCTGAGATCAGTTATGATCTAATTAGACAGAGGATCTCGTCTGGATCGAGATCTCCTGAGATCAGTTATGATCTGGTTGGATTGCGGATCTCGTCTAGGCCGAGATCTCCAAATGCGTGTTTTGAGGTCACTCCACGCCGTGATGCCGAGCTCGAGCTCGGCATGGCGGTACGGGTAGTACACTAGCCCCCCGAGCTCCAAAGACCGTGGGTCGAGGAGTTTAAGACCGAGCTCGTCAGGGAGCAGTGACCTTTCGCGTACGCTTGCCTGTCAAGGTGCCATGTGTCGTATATGTCGCTTCATTCTTGAGAACGTGTGGGGGCGCGTTAACGAGGAGTGACAGTTATGTAATGATGGTCGTGCTTGCCATAGTGGGGCTCATTAAATGAGTTGTCAGTTATGCTTTCTCTTTCCGACACGTGGCATGACCGTTTGAATTTAGGGGGCCCTTTTTTCTCTTTCTCTCGCGCCTCTTCATTCACTTTACTCTTTTTGTTTCTTCTTCTTCCTTAGCTCCTTGCGCACGCTGCTCCCTCGGCTTTCGTTCTTGCTATTCCCGTTCTCGTTTCCGGTAACCCCGTTGTCGTTAGGGTTATTTTCTGAGGGAGAGTACCAGTTACTTCCTTTCTGTAATCTTCTTTCTCCTTCTTGTCAAATCTTCTTTCTTTCTTGATGGCTGGAGAGGGTGGTCCTGGATCCGCCGCCCCTGCCAAGGGCAAGGGTAAGGCGCGGGGCAAGGCAGCGGCTCACGGGAACGGCGGCCC